CCCCAAAACCCCAAAACCCCAAAACCCCAAAACCCCGTATTAAACCAAATTTTGCCAAAATAATTATTAACAAATCTTAAAGAAATGTAAGATTTGCTAGAAATACTTGAAGTCTAGTAGGAGAGGCAATTTTAGGTGGGAACTTTGAGCGGGGCTTGGGAAGGAGGGGAGCACAAGGGCTTGTGGTGTGGGGAGGATTGGGTGTTTGGGGAAAAGGGATTTTGGGGGTGAGTTTGTGGGGGTTTAAGAAGGAGTTAGATTAGAGGAAGTTTGAAGAGATTGGAGGTGGTTTGGGAGGGGGTTGGAGGAAGCTGGATGCTTTGTGGGGTGTGGGCAAGTAGAATGGTGTGATCGTTTTTGTAGCCGATGGAAAGCAATCTTTCTAATCAAGCTATCATTCTTGAGGATGGTAAGCCAGTGCTCAAGGATATTGAAGATACACCACTTTCAGAGGGTGAAATCAGAGTCAGAGTTGAAGCATCGCCTATAAATCCAAGTGATCAAGCTTGGGTTGCAGGATTCTATGGAATCAAAGAACTAATTCCAAAAGGCCCTCTTGGTGCAGGATTCGAAGGATCTGGAGTAGTTACTGAAGTAAGTCAAGCTTCTGGATTTTAATCTTACTATGTATAGGCTCACGAATCAGTAGGAGCAGATATTGTTGGCAAAACAGTTGCTTTCTTTGAAGATTGTCACAATCAAGGATTCCAAGGGCTCTGGAGAAAATACATCAACAAGAAAGCTAGTGATGTCATTCAGTTCCCTGAGCATGTGAAGCCTGATGAGGCATTCGCTGTTTTTGTGAATCCACTTACTGCTGTCTATATGATAAATATTGCAAAGAAGAATGGCCACAAAGCTCTCATTCATGGTGCTGCAAGTTCTGCATTAGGAAAGATGCTTGTTAGATATGCTAAAAATATCGATTTCCCAGTTATCAACATTGTCAGAAGACAAGAGCAGGTAGACTCACTCAAAGAGCTTGGAGCTGAACACATCTTGGATTCATCCTCAGATACTTTTGATGATGATCTTGCTGAGCTATCTAAAGAACTTGGTGCTACTGCTTACTTTGATCCAATTGCTGGGGCCTTCTGTGGAAGAGTGTTATCTAAGATGCCAGCTAAATCAACTGCACATGTCTACGGAGCTTTATCTGGAGAGGCAGTCAGTTTGAATCCAATCGACATCATTTTCTACCAGAAGAGTGTTACCTACCTCTATCTCTTAACCTGGTTCCAGGAAGCTTCCAAAGAAGAACAGGATGAAGTTTTTGGAGAAGTAATAAAGGACCTGTCAACAGGAGGAAACATCTTCGGCACCAAGATCTACAAAACATTCTCTCTGGACAAAGTAGTAGAGGCTTGTGGAGAAGCCGCAAAGACTGCTTCCCTCGGAAAAGTTATCATCAACCCACAGCTATAAATGCAACAGAAATAGTAAAAATTGCATAATTTTTGCTAATATCTCTTCAACCAGGCATCATAAAACAGGGGTTTTGGGGTTTTGGGGTTTTGGGGTTTTGGGGTTTTGGGG